TATCTCATGATCCTTTATTTGTCAAGGACTGAAGCAGTTTCAAAGAAAGTATCAAAGCAATGGACCTAATCATTTAGCTAGCTAACAAAAGATTTAATAAAAGTAACATAATTAAAGCAGTTTAGGCCTACTTGCCCTTAAGCTTCTTTGCTGGACTTATCTTCAATATTCTCAGGCAGATTGCTATCTTCTGGACCTTCTTTGGTACACTGCTCAGAAATATTGGATGGCTCTTTGGATAGTGTTTCTACTGGTGTAGCTTCATTTTCAGGTAGCCCTTTTGGAAAATCAAGGCTACTATTTACTCCACTGCTCCCATATGCATCATTTTTCGTGGAAAAATTGCCTCCAGCAATTTCTTCAAGCACCAACTTAGTGGTTGGTGTGAACTTTTCTTCCTTTGTTTGTTGTTTTTTTTTTTTTGATATATTGGTGAGGAAGTGCCCACTGCAGAAGAAACTTCGGTGCGATTTGGAAATGTTACAGTAACAGATCATCTGCAGTGTAAGCTTTGGACACAATAGTTTAATTTGTCCCTGGTCTTAAAAGTGAGTCTCATAAGCCTTGAGAAAGTAGACAATTATATATTTCTTCAAGGAACCATTAAGTTCAGTGTCTACTTCAAAGTGCTGCAGCAAAAATTATTTTTTGAGTTGTAGTCAGCTGTTGTTAACTTTTTTGTTATGCATGGATATAAAACAGAAAGATATATATCACTTACACTTTCTTGTGCTAGTTTATGCTGAAGTGAAGTGAATAGAATAATTTTTTCTGCACCTTCTCAAGATATAGTGCAATTGATTGTTCCCGAATCATCAGTTAATATGATGGGAATTCGAGCCCTCAAATTCAACAACAGAAATTAACATCAATTTAAATGTAGAAAGAGGATTAAATTGTAATTAAAGAGCATGAATTGGTAACTTTACCTCATATCAACCTCACTGTGTTGCTTGCAAGAAGGACAACAGATAATCCAATCAACGTTTGCATTCAGTATTCCTGTATTTAGCATATCCAAAGGCAAGTTTCCCAGTTGCTTGAAGCCAAGCTGTTTTTCTCTAAATCAAATAGATATGAAAGATATCTGAAGCAAAAATCACAGTTAACAATAAAAAAGGCAAGATCATAATCGTACCTAAGTTTTTCATCCTTTGCTCAATATGACGAAAGAAAGAACCAACATCTAAAGGGTTTCTCCTTTCCCTTCTCCCTTTTGTATACATGGTAGGTTTTAGAAACCATACCATAGATCATTAAAAATTGTTTTCTAAAAGAAAACATCACTTCGTAGCAGGAAAAAAGGAAGAATTCGCTGGTAAATTCAAACCAAGTACAATCCCTAAAAGAAGCTGAATTCTTGGGGCAAATGCAATCACGTGCATGTGGAGGGTTTTGGTGGTTCTAACCAAGAGAAAGTACAATGCTTTGTTCAGAAAATTGGTAGAACAGTGGCATCTTTTGCAGGTTCATATTCGGCTATTCGAGCGGAAGAAACGGAGAAGAAGAGACTTTTAGTGAGAGGCCTAAAACTGACCCATATGTTTAGATCAGTATCAAACTATTTGCATCGAAACAGAAAAATAAGAAGGAAATATTTTCAAACATACAAAAATAGCCCTAAATAGTTAGTAACTATTCAAACAACCACTTTTCACAAAAGGACGCAACTGACTTTTAACACTTATTAAAACACAAACAAAGTTAAAAAATAAATATATTCAATCCATTATTACCAATTGACCCTAAAATAGTAAGCTACTATTGGAATTCTCAATTGTAAGATCAAGTCCCAAATAGACATTTACCATTCTTTAAGATCCAAATGAATAAAACAAAGTTCCTTTCTCCAATAAGAGCTTGACACTTGGCATTCAATGGACAACTCAAGTTGTTCTCTTATCTAGTAGGTAGATAAGTTGGGTAGCAAATTGCCCCCAATAATCAATTGGTCAAACATGTAGGTTTATTATTATTTTTTTTTTATGTATGTGAGATGTGAAAGGACAGTCATGCCCCTTGTATACATAATGCTTTGATAATATTGTCCTTAGAAGATTATATTATTATACTTTTCTATAAAAAATTTTGTAGTATCTAAGAAATAATGATACAATTATAGATATAAATAAGAAAACAAAGAAAAATAAAAGTGAATTACGTCTCATGCCAATATGTAATTTTCATTTTTTGCGATTGGGAATTATTTTTGAAAATAATATATATATATATATATATATATCTCTGTGTGTGTGTGTGTGTGTATAATGTTGGTGTTATTCAATAGCCCCATTTCAGACACTCAATTGGAAGTCTACCTCCCTCTTGTTAAAACTAAAATTGAAATTAAAATCACGAAAAGCTCAATAAATATCACAATGAATATTTATTTGTTTTTCTTTGTTTGTCATTTTTAATAATTCCGGTTAATGCTCAAATATCAATCGATATTTCTTTATGAAATATTTTTAACTAACACAAATTCTTATGAAAACTAAAACATTTATTTAATAAAAATAATTTATCTAATTTCAATTATTACAACTAAATTTATGTCATTATCTTTTACACACTACAATGCTCTTCAATAGAAACTTCAGAGCAACTTGTGAGTTAGAAACTTATTTCATCATATAACCGAGGACATGAATATCTTTTTAGACCTTTCGTACGTATAAATCCCACCTCAAATGTTTGACCATTTTGTCAGGGGGTAATTTGTGAGTTTTCAAATTATAGAGATAATCTACTACTCACTCTGTATTACCGGGGCAACTTGTAATTAAGCCAAATACTGCTATTAAATGTTGTTAGAATGGCTGGCCATCAGAGCAATAATCTTCCGACCGGAGTAATTTTTATTCAAATACCAACATTACCCTTGACTAGTAAATCCCATATATTCTCATTGATTTTGTTGGACCCATTGTCCACTAATTACTCTTTTTGCTTCCCTCTCTAATTAATTGACTAGTTTGCCTTCTTATTCTTTCTCTTTAACTTATTTATTATTTGGATTAATCTTCTATATATTGAGTATATATACTGTCATGTTTGGATGAATGTTATATATGCTAAATTTGAATTTCAAATATGAATTTCACTTATGTGGCATTCATTTAATCATAATAGTGAATAAACTGTCAGTGTATATAAAATTTACTCTTATTATTTTTGCAAATCACTGATTTGGTTTTGAGTTTTTTTACCATAATGTTTTCTTATAGTGTAATTCTTTTGTTTTAGAATGCCCTTATTTTTTATTTTCAAAGTTGTATTTAAAAGTTATTTTTTGTGAATACAATGTGGTTTAACTCAAACAACTAACAATCTAAATGAAAATAATCCAAAAAATGTAGACACACTGTTCCTTCAATATTATGGATGTAGAACATAATGCAATTTAAAATTAATTTAATCTAGTTATTAAAAAAAATATATGGACACATGTTGAAGTCAAGATTGATATAATAATTGAACAACTCATGATTTACTCCTATGTAAGCAACAAGTCACAAGTCTAACTCATGATTTATGATTAACCCCAAATTCATGGTAAAACAAAACGTGAAAAAGACTTTATATAGAATCTATAATTTGATACTACTAGAATGAATTAACAAAAAATAAATAAATAGAACAAAATAAAAAATGTACAATATTGCTATAATTGCAACAAAAAATTACTCAAAAGATGAGAACTTTGAATCTCATTATAATTGCAACAAAATTCCATCCTAAATTTAATCAAAATTTATGATCGCTCCAAAAAACTATAAGCAAAGATTATTTGATAGAAAACATAATGGAAAAAAACCAAAAATGAAAAGAAAAAAGCAGGAAAAAAATTACTGATATTGATGGAGAAATAGCAAAAGCAATGCGGAGAAGAATATATGCAAGTCTTGAACTACATACTGCAAAGGTCTCAAGAGACTGAAAAGAAATTGTAAAATAGGAAAGATGCAGAGAGATCCTAAGGTGGGAATAAGAGAGAAGAAAAACTGGTTGCTGATTAATAAGAAAGGGGAAAAAAAGAGTAATGAGTGAACAATCAACCCCAACAAAATCAATGGGAATATATGAGGTTGACTAACTGAGGGTAATATTGGTATTTAAATAAAAATTGCTATGACAGTATCGCTAGCCAATTAGAATACCTATTTTGTAGTTGTATAAAAGGAAAACATACAAAACATGTTTCACACATCTTTTGGAATATCATTTTCAGCCTACTTAGGGGATTGCAGAATTAGGAATTTGAAATATCAATACAAACTTTGCAACTGTTAATGGAATGCCATAACAAAGATTATTGAAGATTCGTAAAGCCATCATCATTTCAAGAACTTACAAAACCAGAAGAAGAAGCTAAATTGAATGTTTCAAAAGTACAATGAAGTAAGTTGACATTCTCAATATCACATGGGAGTTTTTGGTATTGACCTTTTTTTATTTATGTGGAACAATTGCGATATTTTAGTTGCAAATATTCATTGCGAGTATATCCATTCCCATTTCCAAAAATTTACAAAACATGGGAGCCGATAAGTTAAACTACGACCCTGTTTGACAAGCAAGTTTTTGGTTAAGTTTGTCTGCTACAAGTTTTTTAACAACTTTAACTATAGTAACTTTAAAAAATTTTAAACTATATATTTCAAAATATCCAAAAATTTGCATACTTCAAAAATTTTTTCTATAACTTCTACAGTAAGTTACAGTAAAGTTTTAGACAAATATCCAAAAAACTCACTTGCCAAACGGGGCCTACATCATCAGGGAGTTTTGTTATTTGAATAATTCTATAAAATAAAATAAAATAAAAGATGGTCCACCCCTTCATTTTAAAATTCTTTTATTTAATTCTATCGTTTGTCAATCTTTGTGCAAGGGGCCTCTTCAGTGTTCAGCTCAAATAAAAAAAGAAAAAAAAGAAAAAAAGAAGAGGTCCGAAAAAGAAAAAAAAAAACCGAGGAAAAAAGGCAAAAAGGAAAACCCGAAAAAAGAGCAAAGAAAGAGAATCGGAAGGGTTTTTGAGGAGTGTTAGAAGACAAGAAGAATCAAAAGCAAGAACCCTAACACATCAATTCCGCTCTGTCACTCTCGTCCTTCCAGGTACCGTCCTCACTCCTCCCTCCCTGCTTGCTTCTCCAGTGACGTCATCACCAGCCTCCCAGAACTCATCTCGCTCTTCGCTTCTCTTCCCCATTCCTCCTTTGCCCGCCCAGGTAAATCCTTCAATCTCTCCTTCCTCAATCTCCTCCCCCTCCCTTCCTTTTTTTTATCATTTAATAATATGGCCTGTTTGTAATGGCTGCGAAATGAGATTCCCCGCCTAGTACAAGAAACCAAAAGAGAAAAAAAAATCATTATGTTAACAACGAATTTCCTATTTCTTTTTGTATTTCTTTCCCCCTTGTTTCGATTGATATTTAGAAACAACGGTAGTGAAGAGAAAGTGGGGAAAAAAACTTATATTTGCACTGGATTAAGAGAATCAGGCAAAGGAGTTCCATTTATTTTACTTTAAAAACAAGAAATAATTTTTTTTATATAGCCCTGGTAAGCAAAGTAGTTGCCTTTGAAAAACCAAGTTGATTGAAAGATTTGTTCTATGAATGGAGGAAATTGTGTATTATAGCCCTGTTAGCCCATCATTTTTTTCTGAGGGTAACAGATCACAATGTCTGATATGTTGTTGCCAAGGAAAAAATTTTGAAAAAAAAAAATAAATGGATAGAATAGTTGAACAAATGGTTTTAAGGGTAATCAATTGAAGATTTTCTAGAATTGTTGTAGCAGTAGAGATTGCTTTTTTTATATTAGGAATTAAGAATCAGGTTGTCTGATTCATATACCATAACTGTTTGCGAAATGGACGGTTTTGTGGAAATATAACTATGCTCCAAGCATCAATTGACAATTGCAGCGTTCATCTCATTATTTGTTTCGAAGTTTCAGAAATTTGAGTAATAGCCTACAATCAGTTATAACTGCCCAAATGTCTTTTTCCATTGTCTGCTGCAAAAATTGTACAACCTATTGGCGGATATAGAAATTCTGCAGAACTGTTGCTTCATATCTTTCATCCTATTAGATATTGTAGATGATTTGCTTTGCCATTGTAAGTGCCTATAGTTGTTGTCAGTGTCAATCAGGTTAACAGCTCTTCTGACGGATACTTTTGGCCTCTGAAATTATTTTAACAAGCACTGCTGTTTGGAATAGGCAATATTCTTTCGCCTTATACAAGTCAAGACTTACTCCGTAGATTCTGAAGCTGGATGAAGAACTAATATACCTTTGTCCTTTGTTGCACTGCTGTAGATTAGTTGTTGTCAGTGTCAATCAGGTTAACAGCTCATCTGACGGATACTTTTGGCCTCTGAAATTATTTTAACAAGCACTGCTGTTTGGAATAGGCAATATTCTTTCGCCTTATACAAGTCAAGACTTACTCCGTAGATTCTGAAGCTGGATGAAGAACTAATATACCTTTGTCCTTTGTTGCTCTGCCTGTCATATTATGCTTTTGGCATTTTGACGTGTAGAAAAACTTATAGTATGTTGAGTTACAGAGGCCACTAGTGATAAAAAGAACTACCAGTATAGATGCACTCGAACCAAATTGACTAAAAACTTTGTATGTGTAAACCTTGTTATTGCATGCAATATTTTCATATTTATGTAGTCTGGATTTGTTTTTGGACAGTTTATGTCTCGACCTGCCTTTCCTCTTTCTTCTGTTTATCTTTTCTCTAAACTCGTAAGTCCTTGAAGTCGTATTTAGACTATACGATTGGCTGAAGGATAGAATGTGATTGATCCCTTGTGACTTTGAAATAGGAACAGATGCCTTTGTTTTATGCTTTGGTCTGTCCTCTGTATGTCATTTAATTAGGAAGATTTAACTACCAGAATTTTGATAATGCCTGATTCTCTTGCTTTAGAAAAAAAAAGAAAGATAAGTAGTGCTAATTCTGCTCTCGGTAAACAGAAAAGAAGACTGGTCTGTTCTTTTGAAATTTGCTTGTGCCATCTCAGATCACCAGTATTAGTTTCATAGTACACTTCTATGTCTGCAAGTAATAGTAATTTATCTGCCAGTAGTTTGGCATACCATTTAATCAATCTAGATGCTGAAACAAGGCCAATTGTGCCATTTTTTTTGGCCCTCTCTCTCTCTCTGTCACACAGACAGTACTAAGGTGCTGCTTTCTTCTTCTTTTGTTAAGTTTCTCTTTTGGCAGAGAACGTGCTAGATTGAATTATTGGGTTTTACAGAGAACTGAAGTGTTTGTGAACATGATTTGCTATTTTGAACTGAAACAGTTAAAATCAGAAATTCGTCAGCAGTTGATATGTTCTAAGGTCTAAGAGTGTAAGACTGCAACTATGTCTGGTAATCCTACTTTTGGGGATGAGGATGCTTCATCTGGCTCTGGAGAGGACTTGAATATGTTAGATGGACACAGTAAGCGTCCGTCTGCAACACCTGGTTCAGGTCGTCGCAAGAGAAGCCGTAAGGCTACTGGTGATGCTATAGTTGATGCTATGCTGGAAATAGCAGCTGCTTCAAAGATGAGGGCAGCTGCAATTATGCGGAATGAGGAGCGCTTCGCCATAAGCAAGTGTATAAAAGTTCTGGATGAGATGCAAGGCCTTGATCAACGTGTCTATTTTTTTGCTCTGGATTTGTTTGAGAATCCCAATGCCCGAGAAACTTTCATATCTCTCAAAAGTGAAAGAAGATTTGCATGGTTGCAGGGGAAGTTTAGTGCTTCCTGTAGTTCAGTAGCGTGAATAATTTGCGGGTTATTTTCCTTTTTTTGGATTCTCAACGTGAATCTTATTTTGTACAATTCTTAGAGATTCACGAATTTGCTAACATTGTAGCTGGTTTGACTCTATTGTTCTTTTGACAAATATAATGCAATTACTTTTAGCTTCAGTTGTTTCATTGCCACTTGTGCTTGTTTGCAATATATGGCTATTTTTTTGGATTCACATCATTGTTGACAGCGTTAGTGATTAAGCACATTGTGTGGTATTATATGTGTTTTATGATTTGTTGTCTACAGACTTGACAACTGGCATGGATGACCTTGACATTGAATTGGATGAAATGGAACTAGTTGCAGCAGCTGCTGGTTACTACTATTATAATAGTATAACCACTCAGCCTTGTCGTAGTTTGTCACCCACAAAATCTAGTTTTATGGCTGAAGTACTCAATGGTCAGGATGATTTATGTCGGGAAATGTTTCGGATGGACAAACATGTTTTTCACAAGTTATGTGGTATTTTTCGACAGAGAGGCATGCTGCGTGACACGGCTGGTGTCATGATAGAAGAGCAGTTTGCAATTTTTTTAAACATTGTGGGTCACAATGAGCGCAATAGAGTTATACAAGAACGCTTCCAGCATTCTGGGGAAACCATAAGCAGGCATTTCAATAATGTTTTGAAGGCAATTAAGTCGCTATCGCGTGAATTTCTTGAACCACCTCCTCTCACTACCCCTCCAGAGATCCTCAGAAGTAATAGATTCTACCCATACTTCAAGGTTTATCTTCAAAACCCATATTTCCACTTTTTGTACAGTTAATCATTTATTACTTATTGCACGAGTTAATCATTTATTACTTATTGCACTTCTCTCCTGTTTAGGATTGCATTGGGGTTATTGATGCCATGCATATACCTGCCCATGTACCGGCTAAAGATCAATCACGATTTCGCAATAAAAAGGGGGTGTTGACACAGAATGTTTTGGCAGCATGTACTTTGGATCTTCAGTTTATATTCATCTATCCTGGTTGGGAAGGGTCTGTTGCGGATTCACGTATATTGAAAGCTGTTCTTGATGATCCGGATCAGAACTTTCCTCAAATTCCGGAAGGTTGTCTTTGACGTAGCAACTGTACCCTGCTGAATCTTTTGTTTATCTTTGTTATTTCTTATTTGTCATAAATTCCATATGGTCTTGACTTTGTTGTACAAAATTTGATGTGACAGGAAAATACTATCTTGTTGATACTGGCTATTTGAATATGGAGGGCTTTATTGCTCCATTTGAAGGCGTCCGCTATCACCTTCACGAATATAGAGGTGCTCACCAATTACCAAGAAATGCAAAGGAATTGTTTAATCATCGCCACTCATCTTTAAGCAATGCTATGTGGAAGTCCTTTAATGTGCTAAAAGAACGATTTCCAATCCTTAAACTTGCTCCCCAATATGGTTTCCACACCCAAAGGGATATTGTCATAGCTGCCTGTGTTTTACACAATCACATCCGGCGTGAGGAAAAGAATGACTGGTTATTTGAGAGTGTTGGTGCAAGAGTTGAAGAGCTGCGTGATTTTGATGATCAACCAGATCCACAGTTGGCTTTCCAGATACAAGATCAGATGGCAGCCTCTTTAAGAGACTCAATTACCACAGCAATGTGGAATGATTTTTACAATGATTGGGAGGAATGGTAACTCATGTTTTAGGATGTCATTTTGTGCCAAGGCCTGTTGTCTTGCCTACCTTTTTTGGGGCACCTGGACAGCCGAATGCTATACTTTGCACTTGGACTAGCTTCTAAACCCTGCTTTATTAGGTTAACAGTTCTGTTCAATGGGAAAGGACGGGTGGTAACTTTGCCTTCTCTGTAGCTGCTACTATGATGTGAGTAACGTATCTAGGAGCCAATGGGGCACTATTTTGATGTGCTTATGTGGATATTTCAATGGACTAGCCTAGGAGATAATTAACCCCCTCTTGTTTTGCTTGGTTCTTTTGTACAGGCTAGATTGAATAGAAGTCCAGTGAAACTCTCCCCCTGGATCCTAAAATTGTCTTTGTTGCGGTAGCAGGATGTCTAATTGCACTTGATGTTTTCTGTATGAATTTAAACTTATTTTCCCAGATTATCTGGAGCTCTAATTGCCTCATAGGAAACCTTTTTGTGAAACTACAATTATAGAATGAGCAACCTATCCAATGTTGATGACTTCAAGGTTTTGTGTGATCAGGTGCGAAATGAAGTACAAGAGGTTACCTGTTAAGTAATCAACCTTTCTTTCTGTGTTTTTCCCATTTAATTTGAATTTCTTTGGGAGATGTCAGGATGAGGTGACCTGGGGTTCAACCCCTTCGTAACATGGAGCCACAACTGTTACTATTTACTATGTGACATTTCTGTCCGAGGAGGTTAAAAACGCAGAGCATCTGAAAGTGTTTTCTATTAGTTGTTTTTAACAAGATGTATTGCATTTAGTTGATAATTGTGTTTTTGAGAGAAAAAAAGATGGTCAAGCAAGATATTTATGCAATCATTAGATAAGATGAAAAAGCCATCAACCAAACAAAGCATTTTTTTTTTTTTTTTTTTTTTTTGTGGGATAACCCTTGTTCCATGAGATACCAACAAAAAATTGGTCGGTGTAAGCCAATTTAAAGTTTGCCAAATCTGGATTGGTGGCAAGGAACTCAGGCTAATTTCAGGTAGTCTCTGGGCATATGCAGGTTGGGTGTTTATAACGTTTTTAGCTTCTTCATGGCAGTGCGAGTGTCAGACAAGAGACTAACCCGGTGCTAAGGCGCATAAAGGCAGTTTTTGTTCCTAAATCTCAACGTGGATTTGGGTAGCTAACAAATTATGGACTGCATTTTGGAGGATCAAGAGGACTAATGGTGTCGGATTGAAGACTTGGTATTTCAACCTTTATTATTATTATTACAATGATATATTGTTTTTTTATGTTAACCATAATGTTGGGGTGAAAAAGTAAGTAAAATTTTAAGTGGGGCATAAATAGAATTAGTTGATGCACACCCATTTAAAACTATATCCATTTATGATTTGTCCATTTTAATCATTAGTTAAATTGGTACGTATGTGTTAATTGAATTATAGCCATTCAAACAGGTCTAAGTCAACCATTTTCATAACTCTACTTCTAACCAATCACTGTAACCAAATAATTCCAGTAATAAGCAATATACAAATCAGGTGGTCAATCGCTTCTCATCAATTACATCATACACATTTATCAATACATTGTTTTTTTTTTTTTAATCAACCAGTTCTGGAATCCTAATACAATAGTTAATAAACAAAATTATATTACTTCTGTTACAATATCGACCATCCAAGGCATTAAGTAGCCAATTATCACACAATTATTTCCTTACAAGCATTATCATTAACACTAATATATTTAAGGATGGGGCTAAATCCACACCTTTTACACCCATACTATTTATCAGAATTTCATAGGAACATTTTCAATATCAAAACTAACCTTTTGTGGTACGAAAAGATGCCAAGAATTAAGTTTATTTTTCCCCCTATTCAATTGCATCCTTTCATCATCCCTATTCCTTACCTTATGATATTCTCGAACAATAGCAGTAACTATTATCATCAGTTGGAGAATTTCAAACTTCTAGTTCTAAGTGAATATGATCATCATTTTTTTTTATTACCAATTGATATTTGAAAATCAAGTATCACTCTTCAATTTTGATCCTGAAATTTTTGTTTTTTTATTATCAATAATATTTTTACTATGCTATGGTACATTTTAGTTGATGATGATAGTAGCTACTATAAGTCTGCAGTATTGGAAGGTACGAAGAGGGGACGATAAAAGGATGCAGTAAAGTGGGAGAAAAAATGAACTTGATTGGCTCCATCTTTTTCCACCACAAAAAGGTTAGTTTTTGGTATTGAAGAAGTTCTTATGAAATCCTGATAAATAGTATGAGTTTTATAGACATTTTGATGTAAAGGGTGTGGATTTAGACTAGAGGAGTGTGGATTTAGCCCACCCTACACATTAATTATGTAGCAAATTTGTAAGAGAAAAAAAAAACTCGCTCACGTCACTGTCTCTCTTATTTTATTGAAAAATAAGCCTTCCAGCTTCCTCCAGCCCTGTCCACTGTTAAATTCTCCCATGTAGCTCATCTTTAGTCTTTCTATTCTTGCAAATAACCCCGGCTACATCCAGGGAAATTTGCTGGTACCAAATCTTTTCCTCCAATCCATTGTGCAATTAATTCTACATATTAATTGGCTTCATTAATTGAATGAACTACTAAGCTTCATTTTAATTCTCGAATTCTAGCCTAGTCATCGGATTAACAATGTGACTGACATTTACTTTTCTTTAAATCGTGTCTTTATCATCCAATCAATATGGTTTTCATGAACCCACTCACATCCATACCTGTTACTTTGTATCGAGAGCTTTCACATACCATGTGCTTGTGCAAAACGGGATTTGGGCCCGATGGTGTTGTGTGCAAAACGGGATCTGGGCTGGTGGTGTTGTGATTATGTATGCTTTGATCCCGTTGCTGTATTTATTACATTATTTGGTGTGTAATTGTATTATATTATTATACTAGTAAAAAAGTGATGTGCATAAAATATTTGCATATATTCAATACAAGATTATAATATAGTTATAAACATATATAACAATCAATGTTTGAAAAAGCATTCGCAGGGCGAGCCCCGAGGACAAGGCATTCCAATACTGCTGGGTGATCGCATAAGGCGAAAGTGTTGCGAGGTATACGTCCTAGGCGTTTGGGCATCCCTCTGAAGTGGGGTGTTAAAAGCGTACGCCCCACAAATTGTCTTAGGAAAAAAAGATTTAACTTCATCACTTAAGTTTTTAACTTTTTTCATATTCAGCTTTACTACTAATATACTATCTTTTATATTGAGACATTGGGTGAATTTGATATGAATTTATTTGAAATACAATATATGGTTAGACAAGGAAGGTAAATGAAAAGATATTGTTACCTGTAAATTAGATCCTGTGATGGGATGGAAATACCGGAACCACCATTAACTATTAGAAGAAAATTATTTAGTGTATATACACTAGATGAAGATGATGACATGGATGACAGTAACTTTGATGAATAGTATCATTTTATTTGTCAGTTTATTTCTAATTTTTTGTGCTATTCCTTGTTATGTATTATAAGCAATATGGTTGCTAATTTGGTATTTTATTTTTGATACTAGTTAAGTGTATTTATTGAAACAATTAACCTTTGAAGTTTGTATCTACTTGAATTTATGTGTTAGTAATTTAAGTGCTTGATAATGTGCTGACTTTTAAATTGTGACTAGTTTGTTTCAGAGGTTGAACTTTTTGTAATGTTAATTATTCTGCTTTTTGTTTGCAACTAATATTAGTATGTATGTTTCTTAAAGTATTAGTTAGAGTTATACAATAATAATTCTTTATTTGTACAAATTTTCTAATTTTATTATATTTATTTATATCTTCAAATGAATTTTTTATAATATATATATTTAAAAAATAAAAATTCACGGAGTTTACGCCTCATGCCTCGGAGCTTTCACCCTATTAGAACGGATATTAAATGCCGCCCAACGCCTTTGCCCGTTAAAACCAGTGTTTTGAAAATCGGACCGGACCGGCCGGTTCGACCGGTTGGACCGCGAACCGGCCATGGCTCCGGTCCGGTTCTATGCTATAGTTGACCAGGTTAGAAAACCGGTCAAAAATCGGTTAAACCGTAAAAACCGCGCGGACCGGATTGAACCGGCGGTTTCAGGTTTTCGAGATTTCTTTTTTTTTTTTTTTTCGTTTTGCAAAATGCATTTATCAAGATTCGAACTCAAGACCTTTGTAATAGAAAACCAATGTAGTAACCATTGCACCATCACATCTTATTAGGTTTTTTTGATAACTTATTTATATAAAACAAAAACTCATATTTCTTTTTGTCATTTTTTTTACAAAATCTAATCCTCTCATGACTCTTTCTTTTTAATCTTCAACACACACACACACACACTCTCTCTTCTTCTTTTTTTTGTCACTCTCTTTTTAATCGAACCACTTTATTTTTAATTTATTGATGTTTTCTTCCATCTTTTAATTTTATTTTTGTCCATTAAATTGAAAAAGGTTAAAAAAGAATTATTTTTCTTCAATCCAAATTATTTAATGCCACAACCACTCACTTTTATCTCATTTTTTATTTCTTATCAAGTTTGCATTTCTATTTTCGATTCTCTTGATTTCTTTCGAACTCCAAAATTTCTTTTTTAAATTGCAATCTCTAAATCCCAAAACGTAAATTAAAATTTAAGTTCACAAAATCTAAATTCTCATAGACATGAATTTTGTATAATTTTAAAATATTATGATATTTTTGGGTTAGATCTAAGATTTTTTTTGGTAGATATAATTGAAATTGAAATGAAATTTATTTGTTTTAACTTATAATTAAAATTTTTATTTTTAAAAAATCAAGTTATTCAAAAATAGTAAACTTTTCATCATATAATGTATTAAATTAGTCCATTACATGTCTTATTTTGTGCATAAATATTTATATAAATTATTTTTAAAAAAATTTATTGAACCGAGGTTGAACCGGTCCGACCGATTGAATCTCGACCCTTTCACGTCACCGGTTCAATTAACAGTCCAGTTTTTAAAACATTGGTTAAAACATTAATAACAACTAGACTGAATAGCACAAGACGTGACCCTCTCATTTTGAGAGCTTCTCTCTCTGCGATGAGAGCCTTGCCTCCTCTTTAGTGGGAGTAGGAAAACTCTTTAGAACACTTAAACCCAACTCTCTTCGGTCCCTTCTCTGTAGCTTTTCAGTAGTTCTTCCAGTTTCAAACAAATCTTCTCTTTCTCTTTTTATTGAAGCTGATATTTGACAAAAGAAAAAAAAACAAATCTTCTCTTTCTGAAAATGTCTTAAACTCTCTTCTTTTAATTTTTTTAATTTCTTACTATCTTGGCTTTGGGGTTAGGGTGTATATGCCTGACTCATCATCCTGATTTTATTTTCCCTGCGTAGGTTGGTAACGTAGCAATTCATCCAGTGAGGTGTCTGGAATACCATTGAATATCGCAACAAAATCATGGCGGAAGAACTTGTGGAAGTGTTTGATAGATT